CAGGAGCTGGTTTCAGATATGATATAGGGGGTGGGACGGGAACATATTTGGTGGGGGTCACAAAGTGATAACGACTGATAAGAGCAGATAAGAGGCGCTGAAACACAAATTTCACGAAATTCATAGTGCGCTTCGCAGCAGTCGTCAGGAGCTGATTTTGGGACATGATATAGGGGGTGGGACGGGAACATATTTGGTGGGGGTCACAAAGTGATAACGACTGATAAGAGGCGCTGAAACACAAATTTCACGAAATTCATAGTGCGCTTCGCAGCAGTCGTCAGGAGCTGATTTTGGGACATGATATAGGGGGTGGGACGGGAACATATTTGGTGGGGGTCAAAAAGTGATAACGACTGATGAGGACTGATAGTAACGATATGCGTACGAACGTAGAGAGCACTTGAAACCAGATTGTAGATAATGCATTTCATTTCAATATCATTTCATCAGCGTTGTAATTGTAAACTCAAACACCTTTCGACCGCTACACCTTCTAGAGTTCTTGAGGATGAATGGGATGCTCGAATAAATATGATAATGAATACTAGGCATTCCGTTTTGAGATATTCGACCGCTAAATTACCTCGATACTCGACGCATAGTGGTTGTTTACATCATCACTTTAGCTGTGCACTTCACTGCGCTTATCAAACAGTGAGATACAGCCAGCCTATGCAACGGACAGTAATACATTTAACGAAGCAGCTATAATTTAGCGGTGAAACCTAAAGCTTCATCGATTGTCAGTTCTATCAATGCGCGCGGTAGCGGGCGGAGCTAAACTGGTTAATAAAATAACCGATGTTATGTTTAAGTATAGTCTGAGTTAGAGTAGGATGTAAACAGAAACTCAAGATAAAAGGAAAAGTAAAAGTAAAAGGAAAGAAAGGTGCAACTCACTGTAGATCACCGTTTATTAGGACGTTATCGTCAAGTTCCTCACTAGCGGTGCTGGGTGTGTGGAACAGCGATGACCGCGTTACATATTGTCGATGACATCGCTAAAAGTCGGCAATAAAGAATGGAGAATGCTAAGGCCGTGCCACACATTTCAGCGTGAGAGGGTACACCCCTATCCATATCCATATCCATCCTGACATATAATTCACTAAATATAATAGTATGTCTGTGTGTGCGTCCGTTTGTCACGAACTTCGTAGTGTGCTTCCCTGCGATCATGGGGCGCTGTATTTCTAGTATGATGTAGGAGTATGATGTAGGGGTGGGACGGGAACATGTTTGGTGGGGGTCAGAAAGTGATAACGACTGATAAGGGCTGATAAGAGCGCTGAAACGCAAATTTCACGAAATTCATAGCGCGCGTCCCAGCAGCAGTGGGGCGTTGGTTCCAAGAAGTGATGTACAGGGTGGGACGGGAACATGTTTGGTGGGGTCAGAAAGTGATAAGGGCTGATAAGGGCTGATAAGAGGCGCTGAAACGCAAATTTCACGAAATTCATAGCGCGCGTCCCAGCAGCAGTGGGGTTTTGGTTCCAAGAAGTGATGGGGACAGGATGGGCGGGACGGGAACATGTTTGGTGGGGGTCAGAAATTGATAGCAGCTGACAAGGGCTGATACGGCGGGGGTGCCGGGATATTTTGGGACATAAAATGCCACGACTGCGACGGA